TACTTCCGGTAAAGGGAGAAGTCATTTGAAATGGAATTTAAATAAAAAATATGAATAGAGATATCTCTTTGCGACAAATCTCTTAAAGTGAAAGAGATATCTCTTTTAGACACTTTTGAAAGATACCTCTTTCACTTTAAGAGATATCTCTTAAGATAAACTAAGAGAGATATCTCTTTTACTTTAAGAGATATCTCTTTTTCCTTGAGAGATATCTCCAAAAGTAAAAGAGATATCTCTCTAGGTGAAAGAGATATCTCTTTAACGTTTATAGATATCTCTTTTCACGAAAGAGATATCTCTCAAGGAGAAAAAGATATCTTTTCAAGTGGAAGAGATATCTCTCTAATAAAAAGAGATATCTCTCTAAGTATTAGAGATATCTCTCTAAGTTTAATAGATATCTCTTTCTCATAGAGATATCTCTTCAAAATGAGAGATATCTCTTTAAGTTGAGAGATATCTCTATTTTTAAAGAGATATCTCTCTAAAATGAGAGATATCTCAGTAATTTTAAGATAAATTTTATTTTCCGAATAAATAGCAAAAGGGCTTGCCATATATATATCTCTTTTTGTAAGAGAGATATCTCTTTAATCGAGAGAGATAACTCTAAGTTAGAGAGATATCTCTTTAACAAGGTTAAAAGAGACATCTCTCTTAGTTAGAGAGTTATCTCTTTAGATTTTCAAAAAGAGATATCTTTCTAAGCTAAAGAGATAACTCTTTTAATGAAAGAGATATCTCTTTTTCAGTCATCCTTAAAATAAAATTATTAATTCTTCCCTTTAAAACGAAAGCGAAACAGGAAGTAAAGTCTCTCGAATAATTTCGCTGTTATAAGAAAAAAGACGGAGCATGCAATACCCAGAATAATATATGTACTATGTAGACAAAAATGCTATAAATCCCTGTTTGAAACAACAAATCATAATGGCAACTTCGTTGATAAAACTGCTAAAAGTTTAATATTAAGGAAAACGAAAGTATAAGCATAAAATCTAAAATGCAATGGACCGAATTTTTCTCTGCTTATTGAATAATCAACCATTACTAATTTGAAATCTAAACAACACTGATTTACCTGTCATGTTCTGTAAAGCTACGTATAATGAAGTATATCATGAATATGTCGAAATTTAAAAAAAAAAAGAAATACTTTATTGTACTTCCGCAAATAAAAAGCTTACTTCCGGTAAAGGGAGAAGTCATTTCAAATTGAATTTACATAAAAATAATGAAGAGAGATATCTCGTTGCAATAAAGAGATTTCTCTTTTTGTTTTAGAGATATTTCTTCTAGACACTTTTCTTTCACTTTGAGAGATTCTGATATCCTTTAAGATAAACTAAGAGAGATATCTCTTTAATTTACTTTAAGAGATATATCTCTTAAACTTCGAAAGATATCTCCAAAAGTAAAAAAAGATATCTCTCTAGGTGTAAGAAATATCTCTTTAACAATCAGAGATATCTCTTTTCACAAAAGAGATATATCTCAAGGAGAAAGATATATCTGTTCAAGCAAGAGAGATATCTCTCTTATAAAAAGAGATATCTCTCTTAGTATAAGAGATATCTCTCTAAGTATAAGAAATATCTCTTTTTATAGAGATATCTCTTAAAAATGAGAGATACATGTATCCCTTTAAGTTGAGAGATATCTCTATTTTTAAGAGATATCTCTCTCTAAAATTTTAAGATAAATTTTTTTTTCCGAATAAATAGCAAAAGGGCTTGCCATAGATCATCCCAATAATTGCTGGAATGAAACATTTATTCCGTGATCAATGTCTATATATTTGTTTATTATGGTTGATGATAATTAAGTGTATGAGGGTTGAGGGTAAGGGTTAAGGATCGACTTTGAATCTGAGGATTGAGGTTAAATGTCTTGGTTAGGGTTATTTAGCTAGATCAAATCAAATATATATATATATATATATATATATATATATATATATATATATACATACATATATATATATATATATATATATATATATATATATATATATATATAGGGAAATTAACCAATATGATGTTATACTTCTTGAATATTTAAATTTTTTCTCCGTTTATTTTTTTTTTTATTTCATCGGGTCAGTCAAAAAAGAAATATGTAAATGAAACGTTTTCATATAAGGAGTACATGTAACACACTCAACCATGCATTCACTCTTCACATAAAAATTAAAATGTTTAATTGAAAAATCACAGCAGCTATACTGAAAAACATTCAGCCTTCCTATCGTTACGGAAAATCCAAAAGGACATTGACATTTAAAGCTCTTTAAATGAAACGGTGGAACGGTCACTTAAGGTCAAGATCTAGTGAATGAAAGGTGTCTACAGATTTATCAAATTTGAGAAATTAATTTCTTTAAATGTGCTTTATAACTTTAGCTTGGTCAAATAAGGACTTTCGGGGCATAATTTGTAGGGAAACAAGATGAGAAATCATATTTTAAACTCTCTTTTCTAATGAAAAATTAACAAAAATCAGTCAAGAAAATGGGAGTTTTTTTTCCATATCAGACAAAGAAAATGTATCCAGATTGCCTACAGTTTCTCAGAAAACGGTAACTTGTATGTTCTGTGGCGCTTTTTAAAAATAATGTCAAAAAATATATAGGTATCCGGACTACTTTTCATGTGATTTCAAATTGAATTCCATGAAAATAGGTTGTTTTCTACATAATTCTATTAGAGCCGTAAAGTACGGGAAAAAGAAAGTTGAAAGTGATTATGACGTCATAATGGATCTAGCACCAAAAAGTTATTCTAAAGTCATTTACTAGATCTTGACCTTAAGAAAAATAATTATTTAATTTTATAGTTGGAGCTTTCCACATACCATAAATATGCCAAAAAGGTTATTATTATTTTTCTTTATTGTTCCAACTATCTGATTGGCTCAAACTGGATCACATGATCAAATATAAAAAGTGTTACAGAAATTTATAAACCCGCTGTTTCTAAAATTGGAAACGTTCTTCTGCGAAGCAACAATAGTGCTGACGTCACAATAGTCTTTATAAACTGAATGTTTCTAAAAACAGATACTGCAGCTGGTTTTCATTACTGTGACGTCATAATGCAAATGACATAAAAATACCTTGTATGAGAAGGTACTGAAGTATTAGAAAGAAGGATTTAAAGACATTTCTTATTTACTGATAAAAAATAATAAAACAATTGTAGCCTTTTGATGAGGTCAATCCCTCGATATATAGACCTTAGAGAAAGCATATCTACCTCGTCCCTCGATATATAGACCTTAGAGAAAGCATATCTACCTCGCACTTCGATATGCTTTCTCTAAGGTCTATATATCGAGGGATTGACCTCATCAAAAGGCTATAATTGTATAATAAACTTAAAACCCCGATATTTTGTTGAATTTCATTAAGTCTGTAATTTAAATTACCAGGGTATGTCTAGAGTATTAAACAATATCAAAATTAATATCAGTTTATTCGCTGAGACAACATCTTCCCAAGTCAGACGTTTTTGATCCACCCTGTCCCATCCTTGACTTGGGAAGATGCAAAGATACCTGTAGGTAAACTAAGGCGCGGATATTGAGGTACATAAAGAATTCCTGCATTAATGCGCCCTGATTCCGAGTGACAACCAGAGATATGAATAGCCGTCCCTTCCTCAAAGGGATGTGAAAGCATACTACTCGCCATTAGAATGGTGAGTTCATGGTACTGATCTAAATTGTGGTCTTAAACAAACCACTCAAAGAATGTATAGCTGTTCTATGGGATGGTTGACAACAAAATAAAGAGATATAATTTTAAAAAATGTTATATTTTTTCATTGTTGGAATTTTGAACTCTCCAATTAAGTTTTGATTTTTTTTTATTTCATGTGATTTTAAAATGTACCAAATCAGAGAAGATTTTAATATCGAATACAAGAGGTCCGTGCACCCTGGCAACGCTCACCTGAGTATTTCTGCTATCCAGATTTTCTGCTTTGTAATACTTATTGTGGCCCTACTCTACCCCCCGGGGTCATGATTTGAACAATTTAGAATCTTTACTACCCAAGGATGCTTCCACACAAGTTTTAGAATTTCTAGCCCAGGTGTTCTTTAAAGATTTTTCCTATTAATTTCAATATAAAGCCAGAAAACATTCCAGACTTTAATGTGGAAGTTTCCTGAGGTGATGTAGATTCTAAATAGTTCAAATCATGACCCCTGTGGTAAGGTTCTCAGCCACATTAAGTATAACGAGAGAAAAAATCTGGTGAACAGAACAAGTTATTCGGATGAGTGTTGTGGCCAATGGGCTTCTTGTTAATATAAGATTCATTAAAATTAAATTTAAAGAGCAGGGCCAGAAAATACTATTACACAGTATAACAGAACACCATGTTTCCCTAGTTTTTTTTACTTTTAGAAACTACTCTAAACATGTATGGAATTAGCTGCAATAATGTAGGCCTCTCCGATTTTTTTATATGATATTTTCTGGAGAGGGATACAATTCTACAGCATCTCCGTAATTGTGCAGATATACCTTTCAAATACGGGCGACTGCCGGCAAAATAAAATTTATTTAATTATTTTTACAATCAACTAACTTATAACAGACTAAATTTTTATTCAATCTGTGAATCACTCCCACACTTGCATCATTACAGAGATCCTAAAGATTGCAGCCCTCTCCCCCCCCTCAACAAAAAAAAGGGGAGAGGGCTACATAATTGCAGATTGTATTAAATCCCTTTGAATGATTTAGACGGAATATTGTCCTATTGTAACCCACTCTTAAATTAATCATTTAAAAAAGAAAGAGCACAAATTAGAAACATAAAAAAAAATCAGGAAATAAACTTTACTTTTTTCCCTTTATTTTTTTTTTACATAGGAAAATATTTCCAAGCATTATATTAAGTCACAGTGAAATAAAAAAATTCTTCAATAAATTCCATTAATCAGATTAGCACTCTTAGTAATGACAAAACTTCATAATCATTAGTACAATGTATATATTTCAATTCCGCAGTCTTTCATTATATGTTACATGTAGTCATTAACTTAAAATAAATAATGCAATTATTTCTGTTCCTCCTAAAGTCAATAAGGTCTAGCTATGACTGTCGTTACACTAGAAGTTGAAGCGTTGAGCCATGTAAATCTGTTATATTCTTTGTATTATCAGCAATTAAGGCTCCTGACTTATCCTTCGTCCGACTTAGCACTGCATTCTTGCCATTCAGACTGTACACAGCTGCTGTCTGTAATGAAAAAATAAATATCTATTTATTAAATCATTTAAATATTGAATACAGGGTTAATTTTGCCCTTTCACACTTGAGAATTTTATATGTTGTGTAAAAGAGATGAGGCTGTCATTTGAAATCTACCCTTTTTCAATGTGACCTCTTGCAAGGAAGGCAGACAGTACTAAAATTAAATAATGGTGACAAAATCCCTGTTAACATTGTTACAATGTACCATCTATTTCACATGCTCAGGTTTAAAAATTAAAATAAAGAATCCATATAGTACATCAATGCTAAAGAGAAACTTGCAATTCAAAGTTTAATACCCAAGTGTTCCACTTAAATTGTGATTTATATAAGTACAAGCCCAAAAACAGCCATACCTGTGCAAGTAGTTGCTCCAAATTCAGATTATTTCCCCTTGGATTTTCTAAGAGTAGTGTCCCTTTTTTATTGCCTCCCTTTGAATATTCCACATTCACAAAATGACATACTGGTGTGGCCATTGCTGTGTAGTTGACGCCTTGTGCCCCTGCCATGGGCGCCACGTATAACGTTTGACTTGCCAAGGTTTCTGGTTTAGTGGTAGCTTGGAGTTCATTTTTCAGTCCAGAGTCTGTGTATAGATGGACTCGTCTTCCCCTAACTCCAAATACTGCTTTGATCTAATGAGTAAGTTAAAAAAAAAGGATTATTTCATGACTTTAATATATAAAATACCCAAATGATGAAAAATTATTCAGATTTACAATATTTGAAAAAATTAACAACTTGGTCAAAGGAAAATTTAAATCATCATGACAAAATATCCTCATGGTTAAGAATATAATATACATGTACATACACAAAGCTTCAAACTTAAACTAACACAGAATACCAGAAATACCCTATCATTTCTTTGTTCTTGCTTGGACTTATTACCTACCTGATCAGTCAGCTGTTGAAGATCTGGCACCACATTTCCTGCGGGGTTTTCTAGAAGGACGGTGGCCTGGTTCCCCTCCACTCCCTCCTGCGAGGGCATCCCCACCAGGACAGCATTCACAAACCTACAGAATGGGGCCCCGTTGGCTGGGGCAGGAGGAAGGAAGCTGACAGCCTCACTAGGACCACTGGACTCATCCTGTTTTACTATGGCCATCTCTAGTTTGTCCTTTTTCACCTGCAAAAATTGTTGAAATCGGGTGAATAATTGGGATTTATCATTAGAATGATGAATATGTAAATTCATGTATTCAAATAGTTTGGTTTGAAACATATATAAAATTCACATGCATGCAGTGTATCCTTTATAAATAATACAAAACTTTGAATCCTTGTGTCCAATCAATAATCACTTTTATATATTTAACAAGCTTTTGAAGTGCAAAATATAATTACCGTAAAAGTGGAAATTTTAGCGAGATGCAAATTTAGCGATTTCTACTTAAGAACTGGTATTCAATTTTTAGTGAGAAGAAATTTTAGCGATTTTAAAATGCTAACTAAAGAAGTTATTACAAATAATACTCAATTAATTTTTAGCGATATTCAATTTTAGCGATGTCAGCACCCTCGCTAATAATGCCAAAATTAAATCCTTTCTAAAAATTCTACTTAATATATGGTATGTCAAAGTTTGCTAAGACAGACAGCCTTTGCTAATACAGAGAGCTAGCTTAATGAAATCTTTAATCTGAATCCCATTCATTGAACCAAACATAAACTGTAAGACTTACATTCATGGCCTCCTGGAGGAAGACGGTTTCTGAGGGTGCCACAGGGAATGGTAAGAAGGGCTGTTTTATGGCATTACAGATGTAGTCATTAAACTCCTGGATTATCTTCTCCAGATTCTCGGAGGCCTTGTAATACACTGTGATCTTGTCTGATGGGACCAAACCTCCCTTTATAAAGACGAATTCATGTAAATTACATTACACAAATATAAATTTCTCTTTAACCTTTATAACTACAGTTCTTTTAACATTAAACAAATTCATGCAAATAAGCAAAGACAGAATAATTTCTCTTTAAATTCATTATAGGTATTTGTTTAGTATTAATGGGTTTTTTTTTTTAAAATGAACATAAATCAATGAATAAATAAATCAGTAATTCAACAGCAATAACAGCATGTGAATTTCTGTTTTTAATTCAAAACAAAACCAACAAAAATTCTGTCCCACCTTTTGCCGTAGTTTCTGGACTCTGTTTATGACTTCTCTCGCTACTCCTTCATCCAGCATACTCTGGTCGGGGACTATATCTAGTAGTACCAACACCTGAACAAGAATTAGGTCAACCATTAAACAACATCTACCAATGTACAAAATCAACTACAGTAACAAAATTTAGGATTAAAACATGGAAATAACAATTTCAATATTTCTTAGCCCCCCCCCAATCAAATGACAAATAATATTTAATCTACATCGATTCACTGATTTTAATACATGTACTCTTATCAGAAATAAGAGCAGAAAGCACAATGTATATATTCAGCTATAGGGAATCCTTAACTAAATGAAACAATGCCCCAACAATGAAATTTTACAAAAATTTTACCAATTTACATGTTCATGACCATATATCATGTACTAAATAAAGTAAACTAAAGCCAATTTTTCCTTTGAAATTTTCAGTTCAAAAATTTAATAGAAGATATATGTATTAGATTCTTCACCTCTTTATCAGAATGGGCATCATATGAACTTTTAGCTCCTTCCTTTGAACTGTCAAACTTGTACATCAATTTAAGGTCTCCCTCTACCAATTCATGTCCAGCAACAGTTATCTTTCCTGTCATCTGGAACTCTTCAAGCTGACCATCGGTTAGTTCCTTAACAGCTTTAGAAATTGTCTTCACAGCTCCCTACAAAAAGTATCAAAATATCAATCAAAGAAATGAATATAAAATTAGATTTCTATATCAAGATTTATTATTAAAAATACTGTTTTCTCATGATTTATGATTTTAAATATTATCATAAAATTCATAATTTTTACATATCACTTCATTGACATTAGTAAAAAAATTCAGCTGTAAAAATTTCAGCATAAAAAAATCAACAAAGAGATCACAGGTAAATTAATTACCCACCTTCAACTTGACTCCTAATGTTTTGAAATCTGCCTCGGCTACTAGATGTGCTCCGTAACTGGATTTGTCCTGAGTGACCTTGACCTCTCTGACGTTCAGCTCCTCCATGATGTACGATTGGAGGGACTTGATGTCGTTTAAGGCCTGGGGGTCGCGGTGGATGGCAACCACCTCTTTGAGGGGGTACTTGAGGGGTAATGTATTTCTCTCCCTGGTCACTCGCCCCAGTTCAATGACAGACTGCATACGGGCAACTGCTGTCTCTATGCTGGTATCAATGAAATCTTCACTACAATTAATACAAAAAAATATTCTTGAAAGTTTGAAATCTATACTTCATGCATTTAAACATAAAAGTATCAAAATGTATCATACGAGTAATATTATATACATGCATATACTCAAATTTATTAGATAATGACAGTCTTATGCTATACAATATAATACAAATGACTTTGACATGGCGTTTTCACATTGAACCCATTACTAGTCTTCTTGCCAGCTGGCTGGTTGGGCTACTGAAAACCTAAATGATGGTATTGACTATCTAATTCATGTTCAAAGGACATGCTTTCATAATTATTAGAAGAAATATACACATGTACATGTTTAGGAATGCTACTGGAATACTTGACTAATGTCAAGACCTAAAATGCATGAACTATTTCATATATCACAGAAAGTCACACAAGGTGTACCATTGTTGATACATACTAAGTCATCATGTACTGATTTTACTAACCGGTAGGATGGAATCATGAGGAAGTGGACACTACGTATGTCCTGAGCTCCCACCGACTCGGGGTCTATCAGCTTCCTCAGGTTCTGGAACATGTGCTCTGTTATGTATGGAATCATCGGAGACTGCAATAGATTTAAAATAAATATTTGATACTTGAAGTGTATTTGATTACCATCATTTACTATCAAAAATTATACATAATTTTAGGGAAATCTTAAAAGATGAATCAAAATGAATGTACATTTGAACATGTCTATTTAATAGGGATGTCAACGAGTACCCGGTTAACGCTTCACTTGTACATACAGTAATTACTATTAGGGTTTCCTTAGTTTTATCGCCTGTGGCAGTGTTTATATAGTAATTATCTCAGGTTCTGGAACATGTGCTCTGTTATGTATGGAATCATCGGAGACTGCAATAGATTTAAAATAAATATTTGATACTTGAAGTGTATTTGATTACCATCATTTACTATCAAAAATTATACATAATTTTAGGGAAATCTTAAAGATGAATCAAAATGAATGTACACTTGAACATGTCTATTTAATAAATCATTTTCCAATATAGATTGATCAGTCTTTTGAACATCCTGGAAGGAAGTATTTGTGAATCTAACTTTGAGCAACTGATATAATTGTTGATAATAAACACACTACCACTCACCATAAGCCTGATCATGGTCATCAGTACAGAGAAAAGAGTTTCCAGGGCCTCCCTACAGTCATCTTGGCCACCCTCTCCCTGTTATACAGAAAACAGTATTTTTACATTTATAACTGAGAGTGCTTCCTATTCAAATTCGACAGTAAATCATTAATGCTAACACAGATACACTGTGAAATATTGCCATTTTTACCCTTTTTATATATTTCAAGAATATGAAAAAATATGATTTTTTTTTTTTACAGACGTTTTCTTTTCCCTGCTATAATCCTCACCTTTAGCCTCTTTCTGTTCATTCTGACATACCAGTTGGTGAGCTGATCTACAAACTTGACAAGTCTAGGCATTACTGTGTACAGGCGATAGGCTGTAAAATAAAAATAATAGCTGATTACCATGATAACAGTGTATCATACTCACTCTTCACCATAATTATGTACAGAGTTCATGTAAGATTTCCTTATGAAATTTAAAGATGTATGAAAAAAAAGTTAATTTTGATATTTAACATTTTCATTAAGATAGTAATTGTACAAATACAAGCTTCAATTTTTGACGAAGAAATCAACATAATTATCAAAATACAACAATCCAAATACATCACAGTAGCAGGTCTACAAATATGCATATATTTAATACTGAAGCTCTGCTTTTGATTAAGAATATCCAAGAGCCATATCATGATGTCCTTATCTTAAACATACCTTGCATTTCCACCCTGACAAACTTGATGAGTGACTGAGCCAGTGACATAATCCACCGGTCCTTGTAGTTGGCTCGTTTAGTCATCTTGTTCTCATTGTACAAAAATTCTAATCCCTCTTCCTGAAAATAGTATTAATATTTTTTACATGTATTTCTTGGTAGAAAAAAAGATGTACTCTATTTAAAAAAAGTAACTCTCCCAATCTTCAGTCCCTTTGTTGATCGACAAACAATGAATTTATCATAGTCATAATCCAAAAGCCAAAAATTTTAAAAATGCTTCACCTCCAAGACGAAAATTTTAGGCACAAAATTTTGCTTTCACAACTTGAGAATTTCATCTGGACAATCAGTTTTATATCACAGATATTGGATAAGATATAAGAACACTTCCTATTATGGTGAACTTACTGTTTGATATCTGTCAACGTTCTGCATGAAGAACCTGTAAGCATTGTACCAAGGCAGGAAGACGTCCTTAAGCACTCTTTCTACCCCTTCCTCCTTAAACTTCAGACCCTCAGCCTTCACGGCCGGGGAGTTACACAGGTACAGTCTGAAACAGTACAGCCAGGAATTTTAGATAGATATAATGAAAATCTACAGTAGTGTCACTGCGGGGGAGTTACATAGATACAGTCTGAAACAGTACAGACAGGAATTATAGACAGATATAATGAAAATCTACAGTAGTGTCACAGCGGGGTAGTTACACAGGTACAGTCTGAAACAGTACAGCCAGGAATAATAGACAGAAATAATGAAAATCTACAGTAGTGTCACAGCGGGGGAGTTACACAGGTACAGTCTGAAACAGTACAGCCAGGAATTATAGACAGATATAATGAAAATCTACAGTAGTGTCACATCCGGGGAGTTACACAGATACAGTCTGAAACAGTACAGCCAGGAATTATAGACAGATATAATGAAAATCTACAGTAGTGTCACAGCGGGGGAGTTACACAGGTACAGTCTGAAACAGTACAGACAGGAATTATAGACAGATATAATGAAAATCTACAGTAGTGTCACAGCAGGGGAGTTACACAGGTACAGTCTGAAACAGTACAGCCAGGAATTATAGACAGATATAATGAAAATCTACAGTAGTGTCACAGTGGGGGAGTTACACAGGTACAGTCTGAAACAGTACAGCCAGGAATAATAGACAGATATAATGAAAATCTACAGTAGTGTCACAGTGGGGGAGTTACACAGGTACAGTCTGAAACAGTACAGCCAGGAATTATAGACAGATATAATGAAAATCTACAGTAGTGTCACAGCGGGGTAGTTACACAGGTACAGTCTGAAACAGTACAGCCAGGAATAATAGACAGATATAATGAAAATCTACAGTAGTGTCACAGTGGGGGAGTTACACAGGTAAGCCTGAAACAGTACAGCCAGGAATTATAGACAGAAATAATGAAAATCTACAGTAGTGTCACAGTGGGGGAGTTACACAGGTACAGTCTGAAACAGTACAGCCAGGAATAATAGACAGAAATAATGAAAATCTACAGTAGTGTCACAGCGGGGGGTTACACAGGTACAGTCTGAAACAGTACAGCCAGGAATAATAGACAGATATAATGAAAATCTACAGTAGTGTCACAGCGGGGGGTTACACAGGTACAGTCTGAAACAGTACAGCCAGGAATAATAGACAGAAATAATGAAAATCTACAGTAGTGTCACAGTGGGGGAGTTACACAGGTACAGTCTGAAACAGTACAGCCAGGAATTATAGACAGATATAATGAAAATCTACAGTAGTGTCACAGTGGGGGAGTTACACAGGTACAGTCTGAAACAGTACAGCCAGGAATAATAGACAGATATAATGAAAATCTACAGTAGTGTCACAGCAGGGGAGTTACACAGGTACAGTCTGAAACAGTACAGCCAGGAACAATAGACAGATATAATGAAAATCTACAGTAGTGTCACAGCGGGGTAGTTACACAGGTAGAGTCTGAAACAGTACAGCCAGGAATAATAGACAGATATAATGAAAATCTACAGTAGTGTCACAGTGGGGGAGTTACACAGGTACAGTCTGAAACAGTACAGCCAGGAATTATAGACAGATATAATGAAAATCTACAGTAGTGTCACAGCGGGGGAGTTACACAGGTACAGTCTGAAACAGTACAGCCAGGAATTATAGACAGATATAATGAAAATCTACAGTAGTGTCACAGCGGGGGAGTTACACAGGTACAGTCTGAAACAGTACAGCCAGGAATAATAGACAGAAATAATGAAAATCTACAGTAGTGTCACAGCACAGTTACACACAACAGTCTGAAACAGTACAGCCAGGAATTATAGACAGATATAATGAAAATCTACAGTAGTGTCACAGTACAGCCAGGAATTATAGACATAATGAAAATCTACAGTAGTGTCACAGCGGGGGAGTTACACAGGTACAGTCTGAAACAGTACAGCCAGGAATATAGACAGATATAATGAAAATCTACAGTAGTGTCACAGCGGGGGAGTTACACAGGTACAGTCTGAAACAGTACAGCCAGGAATAATAGACAGATATAATGAAAATCTACAGTAGTGTCACAGCGGGGGAGTTACACAGGTACAGTCTGAAACAGTACAGCCAGGAATTATAGACAGATATAATGAAAATCTACAGTAGTGTCACAGTAGGGGGTTACACAGGTACAGTCTGAAACAGTACAGCCAGGAATAATAGACAGAAATAATGAAAATCTACAGTAGTGTCACAGCGGGGTAGTTACAAAGGTAGAGTCTGAAACAGTACAGCCAGGAATATAATGATCTACAGTAGTGTCACAGCCAGACATAATGAAACATACAGCCAGGAATACAGATAGTGTCACAGTAGTGTCACAGGGGGGAGTTACACAGGTACAGTCTGAAACAGTACAGCCAGGAATTATAGATAGATATAATGAAAATCTACAGTAGTGTCACAGCGGGGGAGGGTACAGGAAACAGTAGTTACATAATGAAAATCTACAGTAGTGTCACAGTACAGTCTGAAACAGTACAGCCAGGAATAATAGACAGATATAATGAAAATCTACAGTAGTGTCACAGCGGGGGAGTTACACAGGTACAGTCTGAAACAGTACAGCCAGGAATTATAGACAGATATAATGAAAATCTACAGTAGTGTCACAGCGGGGGAGTTACACAGGTACAGTCTGAAACAGTACAGCCAGGAATTATAGACAGATATAATGAAAATCTACAGTAGTGTCACAGCGGGGGAGTTACACAGGTACAGTCTGAAACAGTACAGCCAGGAATTATAGACAGATATAATGAAAATCTACAGTAGTGTCACAGCGGGGGAGTTACACAGGTACAGTCTGAAACAGTACAGCCAGGAATTATAGACAGATATAATGAAAATCTACAGTAGTGTCACAGTGGGGGAGTTACACAGGTACAGTCTGAAACAGTACAGCCAGGAATTATAGACAGATATAATGAAAATCTACAGTAGTGTCACAGTGGGGGAGTTACACAGGTACAGTCTGAAACAGTACAGCCAGGAATAATAGACAGATATAATGAAAATCTACAGTAGTGTCACAGCAGGGGAGTTACACAGGTACAGTCTGAAACAGTACAGCCAGGAATTATAGATAGATATAATGAAAATCTACAGTAGTGTCACAGCGGAGGAGTTACATAGATACAGTCTGAAAAAGTACAGACAGGAATTATAGACAGATATAATGAAAATCTACAGTAGTGTCACAGCGGGGGAGTTACACAGATATACAGCCAGGAATATAGACAGAATAATGAAAATCTACAGTAGTGTCACAGTGGGGGAGTTACACAGGTACAGTCTGACAGCCAGGAATCAGATATAATGAAAATCTACAAGTGTCACAGCGGGGGAGTTACAGGTACAGTCTGAAACAGTACAGCAGGAATTATAGACAGATATAATGAAAATCTACAGTAGTGTCACAGCGGGGGAGTTACACAGGTACAGTCTGAAACAGTACAGCCAGGAATTATAGACAGATATAATGAAAATCTACAGTAGTGTACAGCAGGAATGGAAATAATGAAAATCTACAGTAGAGTTACACAGGTACAGTCTGAAACAGTACAGCCAGGAATTATAGACAGATATAATGAAAATCTACAGTAGTGTCACAGCGGGGGAGTTACACAGGTACAGTCTGAAACAGTACAGCCAGGAATAATAGACAGATATAATGAAAATCTACAGTAGTGTCACAGTGGGGGAGTTACACAGGTACAGTCTGAAACAGTACAGCCAGGAATTATAGACAGATATAATGAAAATCTACAGTAGTGTCACAGTGGGGGAGTTACACAGGTAAGTCTGAAACAGTACAGCCAGGAAAAATAGACAGATATAATGAAAATCTACAGTAGTGTCACAGCGGGGTAGTTACACAGGTAGAGTCTGAAACAGTACAGCCAGGAATAATAGACAGAAATAATGAAAATCTACAGTAGTGTCACAGACACAACAGTCTGAAACAGTACAGCCAGGAATTATAGACAGATATAATGAAAATCTACAGTAGTGTCACAGCGGGGGAGTTACACAGGTACAGTCTGAAACAATACAGCCAGGAATTATAGACAGATATAATGAAAATCTACAGTAGTGTCACAGTGGGGGAGTTACACAGGTACAGTCTGAAACAGTACAGCCAGGAATAATAGACAGATATAATGAAAATCTACAGTAGTGTCACAGCGGGGGAGTTACACAGGTACAGTCTGAAACAGTACAGCCAGGAATTATAGACAGATATAATGAAAATCTACAGTAGTGTCACAGCGGGGGGTTACACAGGTACAGTATGAAACAGTACAGCCAGGAATAATAGACAGAAATAATGAAAATCTACAGTAGTGTCACAGCGGGGTAGTTACAAAGGTAGTTACAAAGGTAGAGTCTGAAACAGTACAGCCAGGAATTATAGACAGATATAATGAAAATCTACAGTAGTGTCACAGTGGGGGAGTTACACAGGTACAGTCTGAAACAGTACAGCCAGGAATTATAGACAGATATAATGAAAATCTACAGTAGTGTCACAGTGGGGGAGTTACACAGGTACAGTCTGAAACAGTACAGCCAGGAATTATAGACAGATATAATGAAAATCTACAGTAGTGTCACAGTGGGGGAGTTACACAGGTACAGTCTGAAACAGTACAGCCAGGAATTATAGACAGATATAATGAAAATCTACAGTAGTGTCACAGCGGGGGGTTACACAGGTACAGTCTGAAACAGTACAGCCACGAATTATAGACAGAAATAATGAAAATCTACAGTAGTGTCACAGCGGGGGAGTTACAATACAGTCTGAAACAGTACAGGGAATTTAGACAGATATAATGAAAATTACAGTAGTGTCACAGCAGGGGGGTTACACAGGTACAGTCTGAAACAGTACAGCCAGGAATTGTATAATTCTACAGTACAGCCAGGTACCCTTATTATAGACAGATATAATGAAAATCTACAGTAGTGTCACAGGTACAGGGGGCCAGTTACACATGGCAGTGTCACAGTTTGAAAGAAGAATTGTTTTGAGTACAGCCAGGAATAATAGACAGATATAATGAAAATCTACAGTAGTGTCACAGCGGGGGAGTTACACAGGTATACAGTCTGAAACAGTACAGCCAGGAATAAAGACAGATATAATGAAAAATCTATAGTGTCACAGCAGGTGGAGCACAAATACAGTAAACAGTGTCACAGCAGATATAATGTTACAGTAGTGTCAGGTACAGGTAAAATAAAAAACAGTACAGCCAGGAATAATAGACAGATATAATGAAAATCTACAGTAGTGTCACAGTGGGGGAGTTACACAGGTACAGTCTGAAACAGTACAGCCAGGAATAATAGACAGATATAATGAAAATCTACAGTAGTGTCACAGTGGGGGAGTTACACAGGTACAGTCTGAAACAGTACAGCCAGGAATTATAGACAGATATAATGAAAATCTACAGTAGTGTCACAGTGGGGGAGTTACACAGGTACAGTCTGAAACAGTACAGCCAGGAATAATAGACAGATATAATGAAAATCTACAGTAGTGTCACAGTGGGGGAGTTACACAGGTACAGTCTGAAACAGTACAGCCAGGAATTATAGACAGATATAATGAAAATCTTTTAAAACTTGGTTTTAATGAAGTCAACAGTACAGCAAAGATTCACAAACAGAAATAGTGTAAGAGCACAAATATTCGACAAATTGTAAAATTTTCTCCCCATGAAAATTTGTGGTACTAATTAATGAAAATCTTTGTTAGTGTAGTTTCACACCAACACAATAATACTTCACAAAGGTGTAAAGATAAAAAGAGGAATACAGTTCTAAATCACGTAATTCATGACCTACAGATTAAGTAAATTTCATACAGGCTAAATAAGTATTTATCTCTATTAACTACCTTTTCAACTTTAACTTAAATGTCCTTTAAACCTACAGTACACTTTATAACATTTTTTCCCTTTTTTTGAAGAGAATTTCAATGATACAACAGAAGTTATGTAATTTTCCAGATGTTTGGACTGATTATATTCTTACCTGTTAATTCCTTTGTGCATCAGCACCATATTTGTGGACTATCAGCATTGGATTTATAACTGGGTAGTTCTTTATATTGTCATAATCTTTTGCTCATCTTATTTCCATCCCTGAATTTTTCAATGTTCATATCAGTATAAGTATTTTTAAATTTTTAATGTATATTATCCATGTCTCTAACAAAGAGTTTGAAAGCACAAACTGACACAAAACTTTTACAATGATTTTTCATTTATGTTTATGTATGTGTGATGCATCCCAGAATTTTTTGAGAGGTTTGTCTTTTAGAATGACTTACTCAGCCAACACTATTCCATTGACGATGAGATTCTTGAATGGGGGCTTTCCAAACAGAAGTGTGGAGAGTACAAGCAAGGTATAGAACCTAGAAAAGAAGCAAAACATCTTTATTTTCAAAATATTACTTTAGAAATAGCTTCTATAATACTAAATTTATTAAATGTCCAGATTTACAAATGAAGGTATTATATAACAAATCATGAAAACTGAATACAGTAAAACTTGGTTTTAATGAAGTCACTGGGGCCTGTGAAATCACTTCGCTATATTCATAATTCAAAAAGTTAAGTTTGATCCCTGCAGTACTGTTGTCAGTGTAGAAAAATATTTCAACTAAGTATATCCATATAAGGAATTTGTTAAATTTATATAGCTGGGGATCAAAGTTAATTTTACTATATATAGCTGTGAATTCACAATATCAGTGTTCATACTGAAGGAGTTTTGCTGTATAGTTCATTATAGAATTACCATCCCCTGGTCTGGTCTATTCCTTCTGCAATGAAGTCGGCAGGAAACGCATCATCAAACTCTTTCTTCCTCTCAAACGGGTAATGGACTTGGGCATAGGGCATGCTCCCACTCTCAAACCAACAGTCAAACACCTCTAGGGTGCGTCTCAAAACTCCTTTTCCCATCTTAGATGGAATGGTGATATGATCCACTCTTAACAAAAATTTAATTTGAAAAAATCACATGGTTTCAATTAATGTTCAGGTAGATTTCTCCTTCTAAATAATAAAATAATTTTTATTTATTTCCATTTCTATTCAATTGGAATGCATCACAGTTCTCTGTATAAAGTAAACATATGCTTTTTTTTTGACAATATTTGATTAAGGTTCATCATAACTGTGATAAGAGAGATAACTCTTAATGACATAAATGTCTATTATTCCTCTAAAAATTTGTCAAGTTGAAGTGTATTTGTTGTCCAATTTGTTCCTGCAAGCTATGCTATAATTGTTTGTATTTTATTCAACAAAATTAATTCATTTCTCTTCAAAAAACCATAAGAGTTACAAAATATTTTGTATGAGTGAGCAGAGGGGTTGTGATCCTTAAAGTGTCTACATTCCTTTATGTGACTATTGAATGTAATGACAGAATCTCCCTTACGATTCTCTGTGAAGGTCCTTGACCTCTACACCAGACAGCTTCTTCAGCTCCTCCACGGACCCAACACACACAATCTGAAATTCACATAACAAAATAAAGCACTTTTTTTTTTTTTAAAAGGCATACAGTGTACATCAGAACATCTTTTTTACAATAAAGTTTCTTAATCAGTAATAATTTTGCTACTTCATGAGTCTTTTTAGAAAAAAAAATGGATATCAGAAGAATTCTCATGCCATAATGTAATTATCTTGACAAATCTCTTAGGTTTTTAAGGTTCATTGATACTCTAATAAGAGAGATAACTCTTAATGACATAAATTTCTCTTATTCCTTTATAGAATTGTCAAGTTCAAGTGGTTTTTTTTTTGTCCAATTTTGCCCCGCAAGCTATGCTATAATTGTTTGTATTTTATTTATAAAAGACATTTCTGTATTCGAAATCCTACCTCTTCCTCATCCTCACTGATCCAGAGGGGGATCGGTGTCCCCCAGTACCTGTTACGTGATATCGCCCAATCACGCGCCTCCCGCAGCCAGTTAGCGAACCTCTTCTCCTTCACAAAGTCTGGCACCCTGAAAAAAAAAGATATGTAAGTTTTCTTAACTGATTTAATCCATGAGAAGCAAATTAAAGTTTTATGTATACAGTGAAACTCAATTATAACGAAGTAACTGGGACCTGTGTAATTACTTCGGGCTATTTAGTAATTCGTTATATCCGTATGTATATAGCTGGGGACCCAAAATAACTTCACTATATCCGTGAATTCACAATATTCGTGTTTGTACTAAAGGAGTTTTCCTATACTATGTGGTAGTTGGTAATTTTATTTCGATGAAAAATGAAATGGTTATTTGCTGACCAGTATATTTTTTGGTTGTTCTCTAGAAGTTGTGTTGTTGCTTGTTCCACTCTCACAAACCAGCTGGGCACAGCCTTGTAGATCAATGGTGTCTCTGACCTGAATAAAAGATTCCAAGTTATTGCTACAATATCCTATATAAGATCATACCTAGTCAGTGAGTGTATTTTCATTTCATTTGTACTGTAACAACTAATTTCAAAACATTTTTTTTCTGACAAAGTACATGTTTTTCATGCTTTAAAAGATCCACTACAAAAATTTAAAACAAAGTGACATTTTGAGCTTGTACCTCCAACAGAATGGGTAGCTATGCTTAAATGTGGACTGATGAACGAGACGATCCCTCTGTTTCAGGTTTTTCACGATTGCTTTGTCTGCATCCTATATAGAAGAACAGCAACACATCAAAACAAATTCACTACAAATATTAAAGACTCAATGCCTATTTATATACAGGTAGACGTATATGTATTTTCAATTTCCTGCAAAAATTACATACTTGCAGTCCATGCACCTCATGAACTCGCAGATATATATGAAACAAATAAATAAATAAATGCTTTAACTCTTTATAGTTAATATATGTAGTGTATAATTCAAGAAATAAAATTAACTTACCTTGACATATTGACCTTTGAAGTCTGTGACCTCTTCAGTGAACTTTCCTGAGGCATCAACAGGGCATATGATTTTCATGTCTCGGGTGATGACACCATACCTCAAACACACTCGATAATCGTCCTGGAGGACAAAACAGCATGATACAGGTCAAAAACAAAAACAAATGTCTAAATACCTGTATATTTGTTCTACATCATTTCATTGGCAATTCCTATGATTCTGTTAATATATATAATCTTTCACCTCTAAATGTAACCTTGACATTCATTTGTTAGACCTTAACCTTCAATAATTAAAACATAGTGTCTATCTCATATTATCATTAAAAGCTCTGACCAAATTTGCAGCTGCAAACATACAGGCAAATATAAACAGGGGAATGGCATTGATCTAAAATACAATGTACATTCTTGAACTACCATATCTTTACAAATTTTTACAAAAAGTACACTTGTTAGAAAACAGGGGATACTATATGCAACTTATGATTTATTCATCATTTTAAAAAGATCCATTATTTAAAATGAGACTGAGTTACATGTATGTTCACAAATAGAATATAAACACAATGCAAGACAAAAATTAAGGTACCTCTCCAAAGTATGGTGACTGGTGAACAACCCCTGTACCACTCTCAGCGGTTACATAGTCATCCATCAAGACTCTAAAGGCGTCAGTCTTCTCTCTCATCTACAGGTCAATCAAATTTTTAAAATTTGGATCAAAAACTTTCATTTAATTCATCTATACATACATACATGTAAGTTTATTACAAAAATAGTCTTTCCTTCAAAGCAGTTCATTATTTATTTGTCAGTTATTCAATTGATGATACTTTCAAGATTGAAAGGATAGAGCATATGGAAATACCAAGGCATGGTACTCACATATTTGAAATATGGAAAAATTGGTTCATATTTTCTGCCTTCCAGCTTCTTTCCTTGAAATCTGTGAAAATAATGAATTGATAGTCTGAGTTTTCAAATAAATGTAATCTGCCTGACATATAAACATGGACAGCAAGAACACATGCACAAAATGACCTATAGGTCTCTCCATGAAAGAGCTAAAATTCCATTGATTTGGGTTGAAAGGATTCATGGGCTGTAAATGCTGAATTTCAAAAGAATCCCCTTTTCATATATATACATTCATACAAATAATCTGATCGATAGTTGTGATAAACACTATAAATGAAATTTATTTTTCCAGGAATATTTCTGCTTTTAAAGTAATTGAAAGCTAAATCTGAAACATCTCATCAGTCATTTTTCAGATGCATTTTCTTGCGGTTGACCTCGTTAGCAAGATCCTCTATGTACTGATTAAAATCACTACTTTTCTAAAACTGTGTATTCATCTTCTTTCTTGAACAAAGCTTCAAGTCTAGCTTCCATCATTATGTACACCTTTCCTGTGGCTTTATCTATCAACAACAAAAATTTTAATTTATTAGAGCCATATCATTATGACAAAATGGGAGTTTATATATGTAAGTATCTTCAGCATATTACATGTATTAGCTACGGTGACTATTACTCAGAGAATGTACCTTTGACTTTTACATAAATCATCTCTGGATTCACACACACAGCCAAGTTGCTAGGCAATGTCCAAGGCGTTGTCGTCCAGGCAATGACTGCTACACCAGGTTCATCAAGTAGGGGAAAGTTCACAATGACTAAAATTAAGATTAAAATGCTTTTCAAAAATACATAGAGCTTAGATTTAAAACGCTGTTTTGTTTTTTCTTTTTTTTTTTATATCTAAAATCAGCATAACTTGCAAAATAAAACAAAAAAGGCAAAATGTAAATTAATTTTCAGATCATCTACCAACAAGTTCATCTACATATATATCCAAAGAAATATATTTTCTTTTTCTTTTTCCTTTCTTATATCTTTGTTGTTTTTTGTCTAATATTGTTGCTCAAAAAAAAAATTACCTGCTGGATCCACCACATCCTTGTAATTCTGTCCCGACTCAAAGTTTGACAGGGGGGTGTTACAGGCCGTGGAAAAGGGCATGACCTTTGACCCTTTGTAAACTAGTCCACTATTGTACAGCTCCTTGAACACCCACCAGATACTCTCCATGAAAGTGGGATACATGGTTTTGTAGTCATTCTCAAAGTCAATCCAGCGTCCAAGGCGGGTCACAATCTCCTACAATGACCATCAAAGTACAGTATGTGTAGTATAATTCTTAATAATTAATTAATACTGGTATTAAGTAATAATTAATTGTGCTGGGAGGAATTGAATATCATTCTAGTTTTGAATATGCATATATCTCATCTCCCAACCGGCAGAATACTTCCCAACAAATTTGATTTATCTCACCTTGAACCCAGATAGGGCTGTATCAATATATCGATACGTATCGATATTCAAGAAAAAAATCGCATCGAAAAATTACTTCCAATACGTATCAGACAAGCAGTTTTTCTTCTAATTCGGCTAAAAAGATGGGAATTTTAATCAGCAAAGATTATATTTAACTTTTTTGAATTAAAACTGATCAATAATCATATTATTAAAGAAATAACACAGTTTTATAGTTATTGTAAATTGCATAACAATTTTATTTTAACATGTTGATTTTACAGTCATTAAAAGTTTCGATTGGAAGTGTTTTATTTACTGACTATTTGATGAGAACTTTGAAATGGGTAATAAAACACAATTTTTTTTATGAAATCCATACATTAAATGATTAATAAGCCTTTTTTGATGGACTTGTTTTAGAATCCAGTATATCGGATATCACTTCAAAAAATATTGTATCGTATCGAAATTTTTTGCTCAATACACAGCCCTAAACCCAGAAGATGATTTCATTACGTTTTATATTTATCTCACCTCCAGCTCAGCAGAAAATTACATGATAATTTATCTCACCTTCACTAAGCTGTGTATCTCATGACAATTTATATCTATCTCACCTCCCACTCAGTTGAGTATCTCATGACAATTTTGCGACACTCTGCATTGTAAGCTGCTATCCCCATCTTCTCCACATCTTCTGGCCCTTTGATCCCTAATGTTTTGTCAATCTCATACTCCTATTATAAAGATTTAAATATTCCAACACTTCGTACCAACACTAGGTAAAAAAATCATTTTCTCTGAAAATTTCAATTTGAATAATAAAATTTGAAAACATATTCTCTAGAATGTATAAAAAAAATAATTTCTCCCTGGGGGTTAAAAAAAATGAGTCGGTTCATTTTTAAAATTTTAGTTTCAATTAAGCCTTAAGGATATTAAGAACTAACCACTGGGAGACCATGACAATCCCATCCAAACCTTCTCTCCACATGGTAGCCTGTCTGGTGGGCCCAGCGGGTGACTACGTCTTTTATGGTTCCTGCTAAGATGTGTCCATAATGAGGCAGTCCAGTAGCGAATGGTGGTCCATCATAAAATGTGTACCTGTAATAATTATTTTTCCATTAATTGACTGTGCTGAAAATTGTTCATTCTTATTTTGGAAACAAAACTTTTTCTTATAGTTATTAAGTTTTCACAATTTAAATTTGTTATCATTTATCAATTTAAGGGTTTGGAACCCTGGGTTTTAACTCAATTTAGAAGCTTATGTACACAGTTCTTTGAACTTTTTCTTGAACATGTGTCACTAGTTAGTCGATATATTGGGTCTCAATATATAGCTCAGTGGTTACAGCACTGCCACTGTATGCCAGAGGCCCTGGGTTCATGTCCCAGTTGAGAATTGATTTTTCACCACCTTTGACATATGACATTTCTTGGATAAGAATTCTCCTAAGTGTCCATAGAGAGACAAATTAAATCATTTACGGTAATATTCTTTTTCACCTCATTACCTGGGTTTCCCTTTAGACTGTTTTAATGATGTACGGAAGGCATCAATTTCTTTCCAGTACTTAAGGACCTTCTCCTCCTCATCTGGAAAACTTATATTTGTGGAAGGTACAGGCTGTGCCATTTCAGGTATATCTCACTATAGAAAAGGAATCAAAGAATATTGCTTTTTGTTGTATATGTTTTTGCCATGGCGAGAGAAGTATTTGTTAATGGCGACCAGAAATTCTGAAATGAAGACCAAAATTTTTTAGGTCATTATTTAGCAATCTAAAAGTTAGTGTGACTTGAAGCACTGAATCAATCTCTAACCCTGTTGAAGTAAAGAGAAAATAATGAGCCCTGAAGTCAACAGCATACATGTATGCTAGGAACACTTGCCCATCAACTGAGTAATATTTGAATTGATAGTTCAAGCATATAAAGTTTTCTTCTTCCTATGAAGTGAAGGGCCGCTGCTGCAGCATTTTCTCACTTTGCTTAAAAACATGTATGTGTGGGGTAGTCCACGCGTCTATTTACAATTTTTAAATCTGATTAAAACATGCCCTGCTTCATTTACGGTGCTTTATTTCCCTGAATCCTGGTCTTAAAGGACTCCAGGGACATGGCCGTGGTGATGGTGTCTTCTGGCAGCTGGTTCCATACAGATATCTGCAGCTAACATGTAGCTCAAATACTAGTTGCCAGTAATTTATTGAAATATTAGATTAATTGCTTTCAGACACAAAGAAAAAATAATTAAAGCAACAAAAAAAATATAAAGAATCAAAATGAAAGTACATGCTTTAGGAATTCAACCATACTTTACGTCACTGAGCATTGAAACGGATACACGGAAACTTGGCCTTCTTACATCATCTTAAAAAGATTGATTATTTTTACAAGATACAAACCTGCTAATTTTGAGAAATTTAAGAGGAATGGACCATCGCAAGGCTAGATAACCGAGGAATACTTTCACAAATGTTGCATCAGTTTGTACCGGTATAAAACATGTGTACCGGAAGTATAAATTATATAAAACCTAAAACCATCATTGTAGATGCGTTTTTTCCGATTTTCTTTTTCATCCGAACTATATTTAATTTTCACCTTAAAATCTTAATGCACGTAGGATCCAGAGGACCCCCACCCCCACACACACAGACACACGCGGAATTTGCGGGGTAAGATGTACAAATCAAATTAATTCAATTAGTTTACTGCAATTAATTAGGGGTCTTAACCCTTATATCCAAACCGAGAAAAGTTACCTCGATCAATGACAGAACCCCCTCCGCCGTAGACATCATGGACCTAAGTTGGTAAGAAAAGTCATCAGTATGACGGTTTGGAAGCGATCGACTACACCCCCCCCCCCAATTTCCATGAATGGGTAGAACACCCCCCCCCCCCCGATGGGGAAGGCGTGTGTAGGATCCGCGCCTGATCTTTCTTGATATTTTTCATGTTTCACTGTTTAGGTACATGTATGCAATAAAGGAAAATTATACTGCGATTTGACAACCTATCAAAATGTTGTGAATGCTTGTTTTCTTCATTCTATAAAATCAGGAATGTCACCCTCATTGAAGATTGGTTGCCAGAAAAAAAAAAAAAAAACAATTCCTTTTTTTTTAAATTTTGATGTAAAAAAAATCTCTGCTTTAATTTTGTTGCAGCGAAATGGAATTAATCAAATCAAATTACATGTATCGTGAAACTATATAAAAAAAATGTAAAAAAATTTTTTTGAATCGCTAATTAAAAGTATTGATCTTTTTTAAGTGACCTAGATTATGATTGCATCATACATGCATACAGGAATCATTTTCGAGGTCAAACTTACAAATCATCAATTCCCTCACCTTTTAAACCGATTTGCAGACCGTGCCTTGACATGAAGTCCTTAATTTTTTTGTTTAAATTATCCAAAGAAATCCTTATAATTTTATTTAAATAATACTGTAATATTTCTATGACGCGGATTTCTTCAATTCCTTTCTTGTGATTACCCTTCCTTTATGACATGCACAAAAACTGTAAGCAAAAAAATATAATAAGAACATTTCATGCTAAAAAGGAAACAGTTAATATTTTTACACACGTCAGTCCTTTTGTTAAATTCTCTCGCATCTGTACAGCGTATATAAACGTGATCGAAAAAGAGCTATACTAGTATATACTTTACCTATGTTTGTTTTCCCATTTTTGGATTTAATCAATGGGATATATTCCTTTTGAATGAAAAAAAGATACTCAGAATCATCAAAAGTCAAAAAGTTGAAAAAATTCATAAGAATTTATATTTGTCACTATGGTCACTTACGTTTTCTTTGCGAGTATCTGTTTTCTTTGCTGACATCGATTTACCGTTTACTGTCTGCAGACAAGACTTTTAAATGAAAATTAAAAAATACCAGAATTGTGATGCATGCATGCATATTATCGATCTCTCTATTTATACATTCAAAACGTAAATGCCGAACAACTCGATTAATTTACTTCCCTGAAGTGAATTCATTGAAAGACGACTGGACCAGAGTGAGATCGAAAGGTTAACAGCTACTATAAAGTTTGTTTGTTTGTTTAAATTTGATCAGTGGAGGGGGGGGGGGGCATTCTTTCTTTAAGTAAAATCGCTGCATGATTTTTATTCATACAATTTTATATTCACAAGTAAAAGTGAATGGGGCATCCGCTGGCAGCAGGCAAAACTTATTTTAGGCCTCTCCTCTCCCTATCGCTTCATCTTAATTAAAGCCTCTCTTCTAAAATCTTAATTGTTGCAATTTACAAAGAATGAAATCGAGAAACAACCACGCACACTCAGACAGTTATACACACGAAATAAATTTTTCGGGCATGTTATAATATTTTTTCTCTTTGTGAATTTTTTTCATGCCCCCCCCCCCTTTTTGTTGGGGGGGGGGGGGGTGGCAGAAAAGAAGCTAGAATGATTTTTACATAAATTAACATGAGAAGCTTTTAAAAAACTTTATATTTTCTTCAACAACACTCATCATATTCTGTTTAGAGAAGTGGACAAGCTTTCATCATTTTAGTCCAATTAAACGGTACATCTCTCTACCGGAATATATTAATTTGTACCGCTTTACTCTAATTTTTAGCGAACAAATTTTATTTCCGCTTTGAGAAAATGCCACGGTAGAGTTTGTTGACTGTGTCTGAATCTGCATACCATTTTATTTAGAAGATTCTGATACGGCAAAATGACAAACGGTAAGCTGAATTTATAATTATGTACAATAACTACCTCTTTCATTTAATTCAAGGAAAAACAACAAACAGAAAGGAGGAGAATTTAAGATAATCAAATGTAAAATATGAAATTGAAAGGAAATGAAAATAGATTAATATTTTGTAAGTGTAGTTTTATATCAATGACTTTATCTTAGTTTGCTATTTATTTTAGCATATTCGTTCGAGGGAATCATTGTGTTCAGTATGTTGGTCATCTGCACCTGTGCCTACATGAGAAGAGTTCCACGACTGAAAAAGTGGTTTTTATCAGAGAAAAAGGGGTTTCTTGGGGTGTTCTATAAAGGTAAATGAGAATAAAAAGTGTTCAAGATCAAACATTCTTTTTAATAAGGTTAAAAACTAAAATAAATATTTTAAGTCCCTTTGGAGCTTTATAATACCTGACTGGCCTTTAACAAGAGGAGGGGTGGTAGATAGAATGTTCTTTCAGTAAAATGACATTGTTTTACGGACCTGGTTTAGGGATGAAATTTGTTCCATGTATTGGCAATGTAGCAAAATAAAAAAAAGTTGATTACTCAAACCCAGTGCATTTAATTCAAACAATCCAGAGAAAATTATTTTAGCTGTGGTGAGGGCTTGTCCCAAAACATAGTTCGATTATTGTAACTAAAAGGGTGGAAGATTGCTTCATCAACAACAAATATGAAAAAGATCTTGATATCGTGTTTATTTCATTTTTAAAAAAGAATTGTTGATTTTAAAATAAATTTCTAATTGATTCTCTTTTCAGCGTCTGTGATTGGTACTAGACTTCATGTTCCTGTGGCTTTGACTTGCATATTAATGGCGTTCTACATTCTGTTTCTGAGGTGATAAGAATCAAACAAGTGAAGGAAAGTGACTGATGTATATATATTTAAAAAAAGAATGGTGTTCATTGTAGGGCTGCCACGGTTCAGACATTTTTCGGTTCGGTTCGGTTCAGAAAATAAATTCTCGGTTTTCGGTTTTTTCGGTTCGGTTTTCATTTTGAGAATTTAAATAAAACATCTTTATATATATCAAAGGATAATAAGGATTAAGGACATTGTAGAAAGTACTATTTTGCTGACACAAATTTCTATCCATTTTATTCAACAGAACAAGTTGTTAAATGTAACAAAAAATAACAAACTAATAAACTTCTTGTTTAAAATAAAATAAATATAGTTATTGACTAGAGTTATCTTGTTTCAAACAATTGAAACATTCAAAACGTGGTGTATTCCCACACTTGTGATTTGGTTTTCCTTCCACATGTGTATGCCATGTTTAAATGTCTTCGATGTTACTTGTATTTTCATTGGTTAAAGAACCCTTCATTGAAATAAACAACCAATCACAAAGCGTGTTGCAAGCAAATTAGTATTATATAAAAGATAAAAAAAAAAACCGAACCGAATTCCGGAAAACCTGACTCGAACCGAACCGAATGCCATTTCGGAGCGGTTAACCGAGTTTTCGGTTAACCGTGACAGCCCTAGTTCATTGACAACATGTGGGTACAATCATGACGTATGGTACAATGCATTTTTGCTGTGATAAAAGTATTGTGCTCTGTTTTGTAAAATTGTGATGTAATTTGACATTTACATATGAAATATGTGTATTCAGTAGGTGTAACATTTGCAAAACAAAATACAAGAATTGATAGAAACAATTAAAGAAATGGATTCTCAAAGTCAAGTGATAACTTTTAATAGAGATGGGTTGGGAAGCAACAGAGTAAGGGTCCAGAGGACTTATATATAATAAATGCAATATCATGTTTCAAAAATGTGATTTCTTTATCTTTTAAAATTTGTATTTTTTGTTAACAAAAGGTGTTAGTGATGCAGGCACAGTAAAAAAGAATGTATGTATTGAAAATACTATAGTGGGATTGAAAATACTGTGAAATGAAACACTGGGTGTTAAATCAAAAACATCAGTGAATAGACGATTTAGAAGGGATCTGAACTTTTTATTAATTATTTTTGTTTATCTGTACCTTTCAATGTTGTTATGATTTTGTACTGTACAGTGCATGTACCCATTTGTACCAGCTCATATCACACACTTTTTATGTATGCAGCAGAATTACAGTGAAAATAGTAGAATTCTGCTTATTAAATAGAGTAGAAGAAACATCACTATCAAACAGATGTTTTGTGGATAATATGTACTCAGTGTTACTGAATGTTTGCTGTCACACAGCAGGATCATTCTTTAACATATACATGTATATGAAATGTATATATTCTTAAGTTTTAAATATGTGTATTTATTATTCATGCTTTTTGATTGTCTGTAAAATATTAAATAAAAAGAAAAAAAATATTCTTTTTTATGTTCATCTTTGAAGAGAATAAGTTGGAAAAAACATTTTTGGTGCATATTGTACATGGAAATGATCAATTATATTTTTAAGAATTACTTTTTCACTATATTGGATGAATTTTTATTTCTCATAGTCAAAGTTGTTGAGAATCCTGTATAAATTTCACAATTAGTGGATGAATTATATTTTAAAGAATTTTTTATGGAAATTTAACTTTTCACACTTCTGTCTATGTTACACCATGAACATTTTTCTTAGTCCTATTCTCCATGTTCATCATGTAAACTCATTAAAGTTTGTGCTTCATAATCATGTATTGACATATACATGTGGGTTTTCATTTGTCAAGTTAAAATGTTCTTAATTGATTCATTTCAATGCAAGGGAGCGTCAAATGAAACCCAGGAGCAATATATATGTAGTGCACAGTATCAATGGGGAAATCTCTCTTTCCCGTATTTGATGTGAAAGTTTGTTTCTCAAATAATGAATTATTTTTTTTTTAAATAAAACCTACACAAATCTTGCATAATTTGTTTTGCTTAGTCAATATACAGTAAAATCTATTTATCTTGAGCTTGTTGGAATCAATAAAAACAAGATGTGTTTGTGAAACACTATGCACCTGGCGGCAGCAAAGTTTTAAAAAGCAGTTTTTAGCAAATAGGTCACAGTCATGGTCACACGATCATTGTCCTTGGTATCATTTGAAAGCACTGAATTAGTGGAGTATGCATACCAAATATGAAGTCTCTATCTCCTATGGTTCAAAAGTTATGGCGAAAGTTCGAAAAAGCTATTTTTAGCATGTAGGTCACAGTCAAGGTCGCAAGGTCATTGACCTTAATGTCAGTTGAGAATGCTTAATTAGTGGAGTAAACTATGCATACCAAATATGAAGTCTCTATCTCTCACGGTTCAAAAATTATGGCGAAGGTTAAAGTTGACAACAGAAAACAGACAGACAGGACAAAAACAATATACGCCCCGAATAAATTCAGGCGCATAAAAAGAGAGATCTGAGGTTGCAAGATAGCATGTGTTGAATACCTATTACATGTATAAGAATATGTGATTAGGACTTGGAAAATCTTCAAATTTGGTATTCAATGCAGGTACTGAGTAATCGGTGTTCAAGATACCAAAGATCAATTGTACAATGTACCTTGTATATTATATAAATTGATATAAATATGTACAATAAAACCTCATGATTTCAGACTCTGTGCAACCATGGAAAAATGATATGGATGATCCATAGATTAGAGATATTGAGGCTAAAGTGGTCCGTGTAACACAAAAAAAACCAACAAATTTTTAAAATGATTTAGTTATAGAATTTTTATTTTCAAAATCTTTACCGATTTCGTATATTGAAATTTAATATTTTAGGGCAAAAAGGTCCATGTAACACTCAACAATTCACTTCTACAATGATTTAGTGTTTTAGAATTTTAATACATAAACTAAATAAGATCAAATTCCTATATTTCAAAAACTCAAAATGATTTCGTACATTGTTTTTCTTCTAATTTAGAATTTTGAACTACTGTATTAAAATTCTAAAACTCCAAATTATTTTAAGATTTTATAAGTGTTACACAGACAAAAGATTTTAAATATCAAAAAAAACGAAAAAAGGTTCTGAACTTAAGATTGTTAAGCGTACACTTTCTGAACAAGCGATAGTTTTAAAACTCCAATGTTTAAAATACCAAAATGTTTTTGAATATTTAATGTAAAAATTTAAAAACCTTATATTTAAAAACGTGTTTGAAAATTTGAAAATTAAGATTTTTTTAAATTAAAATATCTAATTTCAAAACTAGTACATGTACATGTAACCGAAATCAGTTTGAATTTTTGAAATGTAGAAATTTGACCTAAATAAGTTACCTAAGAGTCTGACACATCTTTATCATATTTGGATATTTAACTTAAAAATTTAAAGACGTTAATGGTTATCTAACCAAGCTTTATGATAAACGTGATGATTTAATTTTAGAACTTTTCAATCTTCAACTTCCCTAAGTTGTGCAACAATGTACCCTTATCGACTGCATATGGGGCATACACTGTATATCTCTCAGTTGATTCCATACATAAGAGCATGTTCTACGCACGAACAATTTCTAAACGAGGTAGATGATTGACAGACAAATTGATGAAACAAGAATATCAGCAGTCTCGTTTGAAGTCATCGTTTCGTAAGTTTTATGCTCGATACAATTACTTTGTCAGCAAATACATCTTATACTAACTGTTAGTCACATTGAATTGCTTACAGATTTTCCGTTATTTCCCGATCATGACAAGGAGCACACGGCGTGTATGACAGGTCGGCAGGGAATGCTCCCTCCTCCATGGCACCTGATCTCGCCTCTGATGTTTTGCCGGAAGGTCCATGTTTGCTCTGCTTCAAAACTGTTTTGTTTAATGGACTTTTGATCTTGAATACTGTTCATTATCTCCATATATTCCACCTAATGTATTAGTATTTTATGACTCTAAGTCATTTTTAGATATCTAAATTGTTAATTATAAGTATTACGCGGACAATATAAGCTCTACCTTTACCAATCGTGCAAGGATGATGCATCTAGAGATGACCACTACCAGAATTGCTTCAGAGCTGGATATGAGCTAAATTTTATGATGAGCGCACACATAATGGTTTTGTAGAGGGTCCATTCCCATGGACAGTGAGCTTAACGTTCATGGATAGAGAGTATCCACATGTGAACATTATCAGTCACAGTTTGGATATTTTTCAGATAAACGACAAGACTAAAATAAACGTCTTGAAGCAGGGCATGCAAGGAAAAATAAGCCGAAATATTCCAAATTTGGTTGGGTAATAAGTCAAGGAAAATGCAAGATCTGCTTTGAATGTTGCTGGATTAGACTTTCTCTTCTAGAATAATAAACAACATATAAATCAGAGTTCAACATGAACTGTCGGGGTCATTATTTGTCTTTACACAAGAAATATCCTCCTGTTCATTGGATGATTTGCCAACAAATGTTACTTGTCCAAAGCCATTTTTTAACTCGTCTGACTCTGAACAAATAAAAAAAATTGTAGAAATTAATTTTCAAATATTAAGTAGTTAAAGATTATGCTTTCTGATAAAAATTTGCATGTATAATAAAGATATAAGCCTAACTGATACAATGGGTAGAAAAATTTAATTCCGAATTTGAGCGGTTATAACAATTTTGTTAAATTCTTTACAATCTAAAAGGTGAAAATAACAAACAGTAGTTGTGTTCGATTAAAAAAAATCTATACATAATACAAATATGTTAAGAGGGGATAAAACTTCCAAAGGTGGGAACAGGTGCAACATATTTTTCAGCAATTTTTAGATATAGAAAATATATTTAAAAGTATTTGCATGATCTTATTTTCAACGTCTTCAAATCTAACGTCTAACGAAACATATCATATACATGTAAGTACATATATAAAATCATGGTTCGAATTCACGCTTTTTTTTTCTAATCTTCTTGAACTCGAAACCTAATACTTTTTCCAAAGTTAATTTTTGTAGTTAAAACAGAATTAAATTTCGGTGGATAAAGCTTAATTTTTCAGTTAGATTAATTTGTTTTTCTTATTAAGAAATACAATGTTAAGTGATGGGTAATGAGACGATACAATGGCTTCAAATATTTTAAATCAGTACATTGGACAAAAACGTTCCTATACAAGCAGATTAAAATTTTGACAATACCATGTTCTAATGAATTTAAGTAATAATTATATTTAATTGATCTCAAATTCATTATGATCCATTCCAATTTAGTGCCGTGTGCATAGCAGCACAACGTAGTATAAATTCCATATATTTCGCTGCATAGCGCCAATTCCAAATAGTAAAGTAAGACTGTACGATAACATCTCGGTGAAAATAAAAAGGAATTTATAATTTTATGTCAACATAACGACAGAAACCACCATGTGTAAGTAAACCGAATTTTTTTTCATATGGATTTCAAATAAATTAAATGTTTATACATGTCATAACAAAATTTTAAAAAACCTTAATTGATAATTTATCAAAATAATCAAACTAAATTTTAAAAGAATGGAACATTTTTTGTTAAAAAAAAATGTATTCGTAAATTGGATTATTTTACATATCAATTTATAAAAGAAAATATTTTTTGAGTGTTTTACACATTTCAAAAGTTTAAAACTTGGTTGATTAAGTCAAATTAGTTACACTAAAGAGTCTGAGATAATAATTTCACTGATATGTTCTTTGGTTATTTGGAAAATATATTTATGAGAGGCGTTCGTTTAATTTTATCATCGGTAATCAGTATAGAAATTGACATGAAGGACAGGCACGTAGGATCGATTTTGAAAGTGGGGGGCCAGCCACAGAATTTTTTTTTACTTACCTGAAGAAGTTGACAAGCAAAAAAAAAAAAAAAAGAAAGAAAGAAAGAAAACCTCTCCGAAGTCGAATACTATAGTATCCTATTTCGGGGGGGGGGGGGGTGTAGAGGCAAACTTTTTTCACTACCAATTCCTTTCAATATCCATTTTTTAAAGCTTACAATACTACATTTCCTTCCTATTATACTTACCTTTAGTATAAAAGGGGGGTGGGGGGCAACCAGTCTTTAGACGAATATTTTCAATAGTAAAAGTATTGTTGGCAAAAAAAGTGGGGGGCCAGGCCCTCCAACCCCTGGCCCCCCGTGGCTACGTGCCTGAAGGAGTGCTCAAGTACTAGTAGTTGGCACTAACAAATCGGCAGTAAACAGTTGGTCGTCGTTTATGAAATTCCATAGTTCATTTTCAAATATTTTTAAACGAACTCTCACAGTCTCTATAAAAGTAAAGCAGTAAAATGGCACAAAGGCACGATGCTTTTTAACGTTTGAAGAGGCACTGTATTGACCTCCATGGTTTTTAAAAAAAGTAATATCTATGAAATACCTCCTGTGTTTCATTAGCAGGTGAAAAGTATGCTGACATAATAAGGTTGCTGATAATCCCATTATGGATTTTGGCGTCCTGCACAAGTGCAGTGAA